AAAGGGGGTCAAACACCGTATTAGTATGGTGTTCCTAATAATCCTTTAGGTGAGTGTACATTATACAGCACGTCAGACCCAGGGTTTAAAACTGTTGTAAGAATAGTTTTCCAAACTCATACCGTGCTCCCTATGTGACAGTCGTTCTCACCAATCACAAGCACCGTGCTCTTTATGTGACAGTCAAGCTCACCAATCAGAAGTGGCCCGAGGCAACGGAGTACACGCCCACAAACAGCAATCAAGTGAAACCCGCTACTGAGCTATAAGTGAATTGCCTTCCTATTTCATGGTCCGAGATTGTTTCAGAAAGGTCCTATCATCAATATAACCGGCGAGCTCCTTTTAAACACCAGCTGCAATATACTTCAGTGTATCATACCTTTGGTTTTTATTAATAGGCAATAGCATTAGTATACCGCTAACCCATCAAAACAACAATGAGACAGTCAGTAATTCTCATAGCAGCGGAGTCGGTGACCTCCAAAAAAGCCGTAAAACCCACAATACAGTCGTGTTTATGTCATATGTTTTTGTGCTTATTAAATTTAAGTGGTTCCAAAGGTTAATCCCACAACAGTAATAAAATAAAAGTCTTGCTTTAACATAAATACTAAAAGAATAGATCGCTTTAATCGCTATTACAGTTGGGTATGGGCACGTGGTCTTATTTAGAAAACATACAAAAACAGAAGCATATAATGTTTATTCATTCATTTTGTATTTGTCCGAGTAACAAAGCATAGGAATGATAAGCTGCAGTCGAAAACTGCATTTTACTTCTCATTTTAAATAAAATGCAGGGTTGGCAACTTTGGTCAGCTGCATGGAGTGAGATTTTCTGTTCTCTGTTCTGCACACACATTTACATGTATGTGTGTTTTATTACCTTGTAAATAGTCTGTAGGGTTTGCAAACTGCCGTAACGTTTTTGATGCAGCTAATTTTAAGTTCAGAATGGAATATAGATTTGCCGTAAGATTTCTTGCATGAGAGTCTGAAAGAGTTTGCAACCATGAACACGTACATTTTTTGTTTCACCTGAATTGATTTGTATAGAAAATAACCGTATACAGTTGTTAAAAAGCGGAAACTTCAACCAACATGAAATCACCAATAAACGACTTCTATTTATTCAACATTTTATAAAATGCATACTACGTTTAAAAATCTCCAGCTTTACGGTTTCATGACAGAACAGCCTGAACAAACAAACAAAAGGGCTGCATACACCGAAGTAGTTCCTGCTTGTTCATTGGCGTGGGAAAAGGTGGTTCTAGTGTTATTTGGAGGGTAATAAGCGTTACCTACAAGATCGCTATTTTTCTTTTTGTTGCAATTGTTTTCATTAATACTTTATTTAACTTGACACATCACATCTTTAAGTTCTCATCCTTGCATTAGAATATAGACCAGTTAATACTGATGGTATCTCATGCTGCGTCATATGTTTTAAAATTACTACACACTGAATATTGAACTGAAGCTTGACATAAAAAAATTAAATCGCAAATGAAATCGTAATCGCAATTTCTGTCAGAAAAATCGCGATTCGATATTTTCTCCAAATCGTGCAGCCCTAGCGCCACCAGGCTTTTGGAGGTTATTTTACATGCCTGGATTCAGAAAAGAAAGTATCCCATGTATAGCACATTTGCAATGGCAATGACATCATGTGAAGCCTTTGTGACTGGTGGGGGACTAATTTGATTTTCGATGTAGGCAGAGAGTATGGGAAGTTTCTTTGGTTTGGCACTACAGTTAAGACCAGCAATGACTGTTGAAGGGACACTCAACTTTTGTGCACCGTGGTGCACAAAATGAAACTTCAAGTATTTTATTCTTTCTTTCTTAATAACATGACATATTTATAATGATGATACAGTGAATGCTGTGTATGTTAACGCATTTATGTGTAATATTGAATTATTGAGCTGTATTGCTTAAAGTTGCACCTACACTGTGTGTGTGTGTGTGTGTGTGTGTGTGTGTGTGTGTGTGTGTGTGTGTGTATATATATATATATATATATTAATTCAAAACCATTTAAAATTTTACTTCCTTAAATTCAAAGTCAAATTGCAATTCTGAATCCTGTGTTCAAATGAAATTCAAATTCAGTTCAGATTCACAAATTGAATTGGATTTTCAATGACATTCTCAATTCATTTCTGAATGGTGCACAATTATGCTGCCCATTAGATTGTTATTCTCAGTACAAAATGTTTGTTTTTCTTGTATTATAAAGTGTGTCAATTTCAAACGAATAGTGTTAAAACCGGAATATCATTTTCTTTAATTATTGAGCTATTTTATCCAAACACAGATTATGCAGTACAACTGAAATTTTAATTTTGGTTTCTTCTGGGAGCTGAACAAAAATGATTTGTGATCGGCAAGACTTAAAGTGAACCAGTCTTAAGGGCAAGTTAAGGAAATATATGATCCCATATCACCATTATTTTCTAAATTTCACTTTGATTAAAATAATAATAATAATTGTGTTTCGGAACAAGTGTATAGCTCATGCATTAAACAAAATAACCTGCATTCTTTACGTTTATGCTTTGTCAGTCTTGTGGTGAATATAATCTTTTCAGTCATCAAACTGCAAATTTAACAGAATATTCTGGTGGTGTTATGCACCTCTCTATGCTTCTATATGGCTGTACTGTAGTTGTTAAATAAATATCACTCTAAGATGTCTATGATCAGGGCAAGCATGAGCTCTTCTGTCAAGTTATTTTCAAATTTACCAGAAGAATGCCATCTAGTCACTGTTTGTATTGCTCACCGCAGCAACCTTAATGAAAGGCTTACCATCTTCTCAAGTACAGGTCTTGAAGGGGAATGATCCGCATCCCTGAACCTACCACCATGAGGAGTGTTGATAGCAGCAGGGATGACCGCAAACCTGCACAGATGAAAAACTGCCAGTTACAAGTGCTCTGTAGCAGAACACATAACATTATGGATGTACAGTTGTGTTCAGAATAATAGCAGTGTGTCTAAAAAAGTGAATAAAGCTGAAAATCCTTGTAATAGTTTTTATTTCCATACAAGCAAATGCACTGGGAGCACTACAAATTCTATTCCAAATCAAAACAAGAAGAGAAATTAATCACATTTGTGTTATTCTTTTACGGGAAGGGAAGGGAAGGGAAGGGAATATTAGGCTGTTCAAAAAAATAGCAGTGTCCACATTCTTCTTTACAAACTCAAAGATTCACCATATGAACTGAAAAATGTTTTAAGATTTTGCTTTCCTTTGAATCATTGAACTAATATTTAGTTGTATAACCACTGTTTCTGAGAAATGCTGCATATCTGTGTTGTATGGAGTCGACCAACTTCTGGCACCTGTGAACAGGTATTCCAGCCCAGGATGATTGGACTACATTCTACACTTCTTCGGCATTTCTTGGTTTTGCCTCAGAAACAGCATTTTTGATGTCACCCCACAAGTCTTCTAATGGATTAAGGTCCGTGGATTGGGCTGGCCACTCCATAACGTCAATCTTGTTTGTCTGGAACCAAGATGTTGCTGGTTTACTGGTATGTTTGGGGTTGTTGTCTTGTTGAAACAACCATTTCAAGGGCATTTCCTCTTCAGCATAAGGCGACATGACCTCTTCAAGTATTTTGAGGTATTCAAACTGATCCATGATCCCTGGTATGTGATAAATAGGCCCGCCACCGCAGTATGAGAAACATCCCCAAATCATGATGCTTGCGCCACCATTCTTCAGTGTCTTCGCAGTGTACTGTGGCTTGAATTCAGTGTTTGGGGGTCGTCTAACAAACTGCCTGCGGCCACTAGACCCAAAAAGAACAATCTTGCTTTCATCAGCCCACAAAATGTGGCCGTTTCTCTTTAGGCCAGTCAATATATTCTTTGGCAAACTGTAACCTCTTCAGCACGTCTTTTTTCAGCAATCGGATTTTGCGGGGGCTTCTTGCTGATAGCTTGGCTTCACATAGGCATCATCTGATTGTAACAGTACTCACAGGTAAATTTAGACCTTCTTTGATCTTCCTGGAGATGATCATTGGCTTTGCCATTTTGGCTATTCTTCGATCCATTTGAATGGTAGTTTTTAGTTTTCTTCCACATCTTTTAGGTTTTGGCTGCCATTTTAACAGGGCTGTGGAGTCGGAGTCGGAGTCGAGGAGTCGGAGTCGGAGACAATTTTGGGTACCTGGAGTCGGAGTCGGAGTCG